CTGCCAGTTATATATATCCTGAAAATTGAAACAAAAAATACTGCTGTAGAGAGGCTATGGAGTCTGAGAGCTCAAGTAGGATGATGGCTTTTGGTCACGTTCATGCTTCATTTTTTTGTGCTTTTTCTGTTCCTAGTTTATTTGGGGGTTTTTTTTCCCCAGTATTATTTTGAATTACAGTACCTCTGTTTAATGTTCCTGTAATGTTTCCATCCCTCATCCTCCTCTGCCCATCCCACCCTGCGAATCCCCATCAAAGAAAACTAACCTGCTAAAAATTGAGCGCTGTGGATTTGTCTTCTTTTCTTCATTCTTGACGTCCGCCTCTAGATTTCACCTTATTTAAGAGAACACTTTCTCTTCTCTAGGGCAGGACAGACGACAGGTAAAATGACCTCGTTACTAGCAGAAGGAGACATAAGTTCAAATGAATTTGTCATATGAAGCTGCTAGGAAAGGTCCCATTACAGCTGATTAATCCAGCTCGGTTTCTGCCTGCCCAGCGAGAGGTAATGCGTGTTCTGACCTAGTGCAACTTCTCACTAGTGTGCGGTTTTTTCCTGTTAGTTTTTAACCTTTCTTGATGATTTGAAAGAACTTTTGTGCTTGGGTTGTTTTATGCAAGGAAATAAAGTACTTATTTCTTCTTCCTTCCTCTGGCCTGTTTCTGAGGAATTGGCCTGGTGCTCCCCAGTTCCACAAGATCACTCAGTCCTCCATCTGCCACTCAGTCCTCCGCTTTCTCCGTTTCGATACGGCATCAAAGTCTGCTTATGGATTTTTCACAAAGTCCATTTTCTTCTCCCCCTCCTATAGTATAAAGTTTGGGAAACACTTTAGGATCCTTTTCTTCAGGGGGAATTTATTAGTGCAGGGTATCTTTAAGCAAAGTGTAATATGCTCAACTGATCTGGCAGATCAAGACGAGCCTCGCATAAAAAAGTTCTTCTCAACCACGGGAGGCTTTTCAAGAATGTATCGCCAGTTTTGATATAAGGAAAGCGTTAACTATGTTAATTGCTAAAGATTCCTTCTGAGGATGAATACACCATCTCCTGTGTCATTGCTTTGGACTTTGGCAACGAATCCATGTCTGTGGCTAGGATGTTGAGGAAAACTTCAGTTAAGAGTTATGGGAACCAAAAAACAAAGCCGTTTAGTTGGCATAATGTAGTGCCATTAATATAGCAGCCATAGGCTTTTCCCCTTTTCACTCTTTCAGATGATGTTTCTTTCAGATCTGGATCCACATAGTCAACGACCGAGTATTAATGTGCAATAGATAACCCCAAATAATGCATTTCTTCAAGATACATCTGTAGTGAATCCCAGCTCGTGGTGGTATTATGGGTTACTATGTAATCATGAACGCCTAAGGCAAAGTAGCCTGATTGAAAATGAAAATCATTCCTTTTTGAACAAGGTAGCCAACATCAGGGTTTCATCATGTATAAAATGATCTGTATTTTGATGAGCACGGTCAACTGCTGCTCTCATGAACATGGTAACTCTACTGGACAAGGTGATGGATAATAATTTTATTCCTGGTAAAACATTATATTACAGCATTTCCAGGAGTGAGCTTATTGCAAAGTTCAACTTTCAATAGTCCACATTGAGCCAGTTCTTAATACAGACAAAAAATGTTTTAAAGATTATTACGGTTGCAAAGACAAGCACTCAAAAAAATCAGGCAAAGCATGAAATTAAGGTTGCCTTTCAACTGTAGTTCCAGCAATACAATGCATTTTAAATTTGTTCCTTAGCATCCCTGCCTCATTCAGTACATGGAATAAACTGTACATGAAGCAGGGAGAGAGCGGATGTTGTTTGCACATATTTAATCCACTGAGCTGAGCGCCACGATACCAGAACTCAGTGCCACCACTCGCTCGAATTCTGGCCGAGACTGCTGGAATTGCAGGCAAACGAGGGCTGCATTATAGTTGCATGTGCAAATATATTTCTGGTATTTGCTTTTTTTTTTTTTTTTTTTTTTTTTTAATGCTTGACTTCATGTTCATGACTGTCCTCTTCCCCTCCTTATACATGCAGACCACCAAGGACAGGGAGTATTTCATTTTTAGCAATCTAACTTGGTGCATTTGTGGCTGCATCTGACGTTGCAGAGATCACAGCATTCCTTGCTTAAGACCAGATATACCTGTTTGATTCTGTTCAACATGCAGGCACCAGGGAGAAGGAAAAAAATAAACTTTTGTATTTATTTTCTTACTTAGCTGGAAAAAAGAAAGAGTTGATGCAAATTATTCTACTGCTGTATCTCTTCTCAGGGGAGCACTTTCCAATTTTTGTTTGAATAAAATTGTATCTTTTTTTAAAAATCTAAATGAATTTTTCCAAGCCATGAAGTGATCATGGTCTTTATTTTATCCATATTGTGTAATATTCTGGAAGCAGCTGTTCTTTAGGTAGAAGCATACTTGTAGTTTTGAAAAAAGAAGCTAAAGTTTAATCTCTTAAACTCTGAATACAGCATGGCATCTCATACTGTTTGCTCAGGAGTTGCTCAAAGAATTAGTATTCATTTTCTTTGTGTCTAGGAAGGGGGGGGAAGAAGGAAAAAAAAAAGGAGACACCAAACTAGAAAAGGACTACTAAAAACTTTTTATTTCTGTGAGTTTGCCCATGGAAATTGTATACACAAACAGAGAGGAAGAAATAATCATTCATACAAATGTTTAACATGTGCGAATTTCTTGTTGCATGATTGGTTCCCTCCTTTTGGAGTTAAATTCAGTGAAATAGGACTCCTATTTTGGAAAAGAGAGTAAGCGCACAACAAAGGATAAATGATCAAATGATTGGCTAGAGGCTATTAGGAATGCATGGGAAATGTGACAGATCACGTATTAGCAGGACATTTGATCTCAAAATAAATTTGAAGCCTTTTACAGCTGAAGTTGGCAAAAAAAAAATTAAGAATTATTGTAAGGAGATACCTGGAACTTCAGAACTGTATTGATGCACTGAATTGCATTAAAAAAAAAAAAGCAAGAAAGGTTTTAGGAAGGAAAATGATTCATTTTAATATAAAAGAAGCTTTCATGTGTTCACTTCAGGTTTTTTTTTAATCTGTCTTTGAAATGATCCATGCAAGCATTTATAGGCCAGCATCAGTAATACTGACCACTTAAAAATTGCATTCAGTTGTTCGTATGCCTATACTACATCTAATTTCTGTAATAAGAGTAAATTTGAGGGCACCAAATAAAATGTCACCCCAGACCTAAAAAACAGCCATGTGTCAACAGGGAAACACAGACCTGGATTGGAAAAATCTGAGCTTTTTAATGTAAAGAAGTGAATATTTCCTTATTTAGTGACCTAGCAACTGTTTTTAATTTAACCTTGCTGTAGGTACATGTCACTTTGTATTAATGCAATTCGCTTTCTTTATAGAGATCACATTCCTTCTCAGAATATAACATTAACTGTTTCCGTGCTTCAGCTTGTGTGTTTGCTAAACTTTAAAAGATTGGAATAATCCTTTTTAACCTAATTTTAAAACCATCTTTTAGAAGCTTATATTTAATTTGACCTTTAAATTGATCTCTAAAAAAAAATCTGAGTATGTAGTATCCTGGAATAAAACTTTAATCCTATTAGATACAGTAAACTTTTTCTTCAGTTTTTAAACAGCTAAAATGTTGTATGCAAAATGAAGGATGGTGGGTAACTATGGTAATTTTTTTGGTATGGGTTTAAGCTAGCTAGAGAACTTGGTGATTTGTTGAATAAATATCTTTTGAACTTTGAATTATGCATAGACATTTATTGTCCGTTTCACAGCAATATATAAATCGCTGTCCTTTTCTAGAGGAGGAAAATATTATAAAGGATAATATTTGATGCAAGCAGGATTGGTAAGCTGGTCAACTGACTGGTTAAATATTGTCAGTTGACCAGTCAATTAACTGCATATTTTTGACTGGTCAAAGATTATAGCAATTTAACCAAAAAAACCCTACATTTTCTAGTTTACTTGACAGAAATAAGATTTTAAAATTTTTAACACATTTCTTAATAGAAAATTTGTGCTTTTTCTGTGTATTAGCAATTTTTTTTACAATTTTTGACTGATATTTGACCAGTCAGTTGACCAAACTATTTGACCAGTCAAATACCCAACCTTAGATACAAGTAATAGTGAAAAAGTTGTAAGAGTACTTACTTTTAATCCAAGACCAAAAAAGCGACAGGTGAGCATGCTTTAATAATCAAGAGCTGGTGGATATTTTTTAAAAATATATTAACAGAATGATAAAGGCATAAATATAGGTCATAGCTCCCATATTACTAGCAGCTAATGGAGATTTTTCTTTGGTAAAAAAACTAGGCAGTTTATTTGATGCAGGTGGAACAGTATATATGTTATAATGACAACTTTTGAAGTCCTCCTTGGCAACACACTTTTTCCACTAATTATGTTTTAATATCACTTCGTGAAATTTCTATGAATCCAGTATTTGCCCAAGTCGCTGCAACGGATGGAGAAGTTAGTGCAATAAGAATGAACTTAGAAATCCAAGCATTTTACTTTGAATATTTTCAAAATAGTAGAACATCATCACTGCTGGTATCTTAGTAGTTACACAAGGAGGGGAAGGAGTGTTACAGCATTGCAATCTGCCACCACATTGTAGATCATGTTTAAGAGGCGAAGCTTAGCAAGATTTCCTTATTCTTCTGGTGTAATTTCTACATCTTGTCTCATTCAGCCTTTCTATTGTACACTTCTATTAAATGCTCTCATAGGAGTATAGTCTGTTTGGCTGCGCTAGCTAACACCAGTACCTGGCATGTGGATTTGCAGATATATCTAAAGGAAGTATATGAAAAAAGTATTAATTCCTTCAGTGGTGCCACAGAGTCTAAGTAGAGATGTTCCATCCACAGCCAGTCTGGTTGAGCCGTGCTAATTATAATTTCAAGATGCCAGTATTCCAATACTAAATCTGTTCCACTTCCGTTCACAGCTATGTCGTCTTATCTTTTAATTGTTAAATCTGAACTGCCCGGTACAATTGCAGGGTTCTTAAGTGGAGAAGAAAGCGGGTAAGGAAAAAAATATTTCAAATGTTTTATTATCTAATGGGGAAAATGCAGTTCCCGTAAAGATTGCTAAGCCCTGCTGCAAGGTGTGGGCATGGGTACCAACACTTCCCTTTGATTTCACGTGCTAAGAAAGAAGTGATTTATAGTTGTGCCTGGAACGCAGGATGCAGTTAGCATGTGTAAGTGTTCTGCAGTTCACAAATGCATACAGAGCCTGATTTTCTTTTTCTTTCAGCAGTTTCCTTTCCTACACTTTTAAAAGTTAAAGGTAAAACCCTATCCAAAAAAAATGCCTGTCCCCTGAGAACTGAGCTTGAAAAACGAAGGAAAGGGGGCAAAAAAACCGCACAAACTGCTGTCATGTTATCGCGTTGCATATTTTTAAACCACAATACAAAAACGGCAGGCATTCAAGTTTAAATATTTTGTTGTCTTGCTCCAGTAATTGGACTTGTCTTGGGAAACATGCCAGGTTTCCAGACTTGGTTTATAATTCCTCCATTTGGCTTCCAGTAAAGAAATTATGCTTTTAGTTCAGATGTATAGCAGTATGTAAAATTAGTGGTCTTCAGATCTATATCAGAACCACTGCAAGAGTGCTGTGGCTGAACTAGCTAAGAAAAACATTTCAGCTTTAGCACTGGAATATCTTACTTTGGCTGTTACAAGCTGCCATCATTTATGACAGTGTGTTTTAGTTGTTAGCTGTCTTTTCAAACTGCCATTTTTATAGATTTTGAATTCAAATTTTTTTCTCTGGGCTTAAATTTGAGGCTGTTACAGTATGCACATTTGTGATTTACTATATTGTTTTTATGGATGCACTTTGTCTGATATTAGCTTTAAAAAAGTTATAGTGTTTCAGATATTTTTAACTAACGCTTTTTTTGCTTGCAATAAAAGCTGCTGTCATTTTGATGAGGGACAGAAGTTACACATAAACCAGTATAAGGGATTGGAAACCGATTCAAATCCGTAACACAACAGAAGCTCAGTGTATATAAACTGCTTTCAAAATGGCTAAAACAGTATAACATAAACCTGATGGATATAGTATCAGACTTAACACACAGTCTAGCAGCATCCCAGAATGCTTTGCACCTCCCCCTCCCACAGTGTGGGCGGGCCAACTTTGGCCCAAGCTGTCTGCTCAAACCAAGCAGGGAGGTGTGCTCTAGCACCCCTCGGCTTCTGGCCTGGGCAACTGCAGGCCTGTGGCTGCATTTTCAGGATCAAAAGTGAACGTCTGTTCACTTGCTTATCAGTTCAATCTGTGCAGCTTAGACTAACCTGCAGAGATTGAATCAATTCAGCCTTGGACTTTTTGACTGTCTGTACTTAGCCCTTAAGATGGATCAGAGTTACTGTTATTACATGGGGAGGTTTAAGCCTTTTCTGATTGTGCTTTTAATTTGGTAAGTTTTTGTAGTAAGCTGAAAAGCCATGGTGGCCTCGAGTGGCCTCACTTTGAGCCATGGTGGCCTCAAGTGTCTGAAGAGTTTATAGGTTACATTTTATCAAAATCTTTTCCCAAATTTTGTCTGGCTTGAGAACCCAATTATTGACTTGACTTTTAAATAGTGGTGGCTCTATTCATGTGAAGTGACTTTTTCAGCAAAAATTCAGAAGAAGGAATACGGGAACTTTTTTTTAGATGTATATGCCACCGTTTCCCAACAGGCTCAGGGCAGCTTACAATAAAAGAGGGGAAAAAAACATAGAAATTGAATAAACTATTAAAATAGGAACAATCAACCCACCCAGCTACAAGGTTCCCCATGCCCCCCCAAGCTGAGAAGTCATCCACCCCATCCCAACCACTACCCTGCCTCTCACCTAGGAGAGAGTTTCTCCCCACTCCACCCAGCCCACCATCTGTTTCCAACTTCCGGTCAATACCTCCAGAAAAGATGATGATTCCCTTCTACCCATATTCCCTGCCACCTCGACTCATTCCCATGGCCCTACCTCACATGCAAGGGAGTCCTTCGATGTCCTTACTGTCCCTTCCCAGCTGTAGCCTCCCTCTCAAAGGGGAGAGGGGGCTTGCAGCTCTCTGCAGAATCTATTAATTATCCCCTTCCCTACAAAGAAAACTTGTTCAGTTGAAAAAGAAAAAAAGCCCACACGCTCCTTCACCCTCTCTCTTAGCCAAAGGGTAAGGCAAAAGCACTCCTTTGAGCATTCCTCTTCGGTGGTGCCTGCCCGCGATCCCTTGTAAAGCCACAGACTAGTGAAAACCTCCTTTGCTGCCTGTCTGGCTCCACTTGTCTACTCAGCCTTCCAGCCCTTCCCCTGCTCTTGGCCCCCAGAAGTGGGTTAATAACAACTTTCATAGTAAGTTAATAATAATTATGCATTCAACAATAGAAGCTTAAAAACCTTCTCCATTGAGAATGGGGTCTCATTCTGGGCACTTCATAAGTGTAGATGTTATAGTGACACAGTCCCTGCCTCAGCATCACGTGGTCCAAAAGAGTTGACATTCTACCTACCTAATGAAGAGTCAGCCGATCTTTATTGGTTGTGCAGTGAATCTGTCAAATTTTCAAAATAAGGATACTAACAAAATAATGTATTTTTCCCTCAAACAGTGTAAGGACTTTTTTTAGCATTTAGGCCTAGTTCAGTTCCCACTGAAGTTTTTTGATCGTCAAGTTTTTGATCGCAACATTATGGTCATGATCCAACTCCCCAAATCTATAGAGGCAGTCCTCGAACTTACGACACAATTGGTTCCTGAAAACTGCATCTTAAGTCAAAACGCAACTCAGACCCAATTTTCCCATAGGAAACAATGTTATAAATGGGGGATTGGTTCCTGAACCAGGGCCTAATGCCTTAATTTCACCAAAAAAATCCCAGAATTTTTTACTCAAATCAATTATAGATGAGTAATATAGCTACATTAATGCATTTATGTTGTAAATAGCAATCGTATTGATTTGGAAGGACTTCTTTGAGGTGACTTTGAGGAATTTTTTAAGGTTCTTGGCTGGAGTCTTCTCAGGAGTCCTGGCTGCAGGTTTTTCTGGAGTCTTGTCTGTTTTCTTAAAGAAAGTGTCCAAGGGAATTTGGACAGATGTTCTCCAGGGGGATGGGCGGTGCAGTGAACTTGTTTGCTGGCGTGGTGTCGTGTTGGATCAGGCATTGTAAAGTCAAAACTGACATCAGAAAGTCAAAACAGGATGTCAATTTATAAATGTCGTAAGTGCGAAATGGTGTAACTCAAAACATTGTAAGTCAAGGATTGCCTGCACTCAGCTTATGACAAATAATTAAAAACTACCTTTTAAGGAATTCCATAAGTGCGTAAGTCAGGCCAAGATATTCCTTCCTTTCTTGCGTGTATCAAAATGGGAGCCTGATCACTTCACCTTTTAACTTGCATAGCCTACTATTTCTTGAAGCCCCATGAAGTAGCCAGAATCTTGAATATTTTTTTCCTTTTGTATTTGACACAACCCTGGTGTATAACTGTTTGATTAGTATTTTTTTTTTAAATCGCAGAAAATAATTTAATACAGAAAATATGTAATAAAATATCTAATCTGAAGAGCATAGATAGGCAAGGGACATAAAAATTGTGTATGCTGATTTAAGGAATTCTACTAGACAGTTTATTTCCAGATGTGGTTACATGACAGTTTTGTTTCTGTTAGGTCAGTTTGGTATATGATACCCTTTCATCTGGCGCATAGTTTTTCTTGAACTGCAGATACTTTAACAAACTGACACTTTTGAAATATCATTATCTGCAAAAAAAAAAAAAAAAAAAAAAATATTTTATATTCCTATGTAGGTCATAAATATGCATGCATGTATTTAGATCACGCATATATGCAGACAGAATTATGTCATAATGATAATGTAAAATCTGCAGGATCAGAGCCAGTGTTTACAACATACCTTAATGTCTTTCCTATGGTAATAAAATGCAACATAAATATTTGTAAATTGAATTGTTTCAGTCAGTTTGCATAAGAAGAGTTCTAAATATTTTTTATTTTTGCATAAGAAGAATTCTAAAGATTTTGTCGCTTAAAATAAAGGCTGTGTTAAAATGTTGTAATTTGTGAGCTTTCTGTTAACATTTAATGATCCTGTCAGGATGATCTGATTGGTGCAATTTAGTTGTCTTGCCCATGTGTGGTATAATTGATAAAGACTGAAAGTAAAGTCCTAATTTAGAACATATGAATCTCTCTTGTCCTGTTGTATTCAGGAATGAAATTAAGCAATTCATAAATCTGTCTGTTTTTAGTTAAAATATAGGGTGAGCACATTGATACGGCTAAGGATTTATACGCCACATTTCATATTTGAAATAGTTTTTATAATGTAGGGTTAAAATAAAATATCAAAGCAGTTTTAAAGGGAATCTTAAACTGTTCTTGGATAGAGAGAATTAACTTTTTAATACTTTATGGAAAAAACTGATGCCCGGTTACAAAAGTGGTAGATGTTCCATTGAATTTTATTAAAAATAGACTTCTATATTCCAAGCTAAAGACGTTTAATAACCTTTTTTTTTTAATAGTTTCTTTTCCCTGATTAACGTTTTGCATGTTACAGTTCTGTTTTATGGGGTTTCCTATTTCTGTTTTTTCAAAAATGTCTTTTGCCAAATATACTGTTGACTAGTATATGGTACCTAAAAATAGTTTTGTCCTGTTGCTCTTCTAGCTCATTGATTAGTTATGGGAACTTTGGATTTGTTACCTGTTGGTCTAGACAGTCATGTGACTTCCAGTACACGTGGTACCTCTGCTTTATCAGAGGTGTTTCAACTAATATTTGAAGAATATGATTGCTTATTCTCCTCCCGCTTTTAAAATTCACAGCCACCCTGTAGGGATCAAAATTATGAAAAGCATGAAAGTAAGATTGTGTGAAAGTAATGCTAATATAATAAGACTTAGCACTTCCGTCTGTCTGTCTGTAATGCTCTGGGTCAACTGCACATGTGCGGCCCGGAGCCTTAGGACAGACAGAAGGATGGGGGCGGGGCCAGGACCAGGCTGTGCTCCTTGCTGTCAGGTGCGGGGACCGGCTGTTTGAGGGGTGTAAAATGTGACTGTCAGGGGGGCATGTGTGGCACACAGCTGTACGGGGGGACCCGTGGCACTCCACTGCAGGTTGCCTCAAGGGGAGTGGGCAGGGGGGCACAGGCAGTGCCCATTGGCTGCAGCACGTGGCCACAGGGCAGGGCGCATCCCCCTGCCTGCTCCTTGGGGCACCCTGCAACCACGTACCACAATCCCATGCCGGGAGCACCAAAACATGGGAGGGACGTGGCACGTGGCCACAGGGTGCCACATGAAGAGCGGGCATGAGGGGCGTGCACTGCCCTATGGCTGGATGCTGCAGCCAACGGGCGCTGCCTGCTCCCCTCAGGGGCTGCCCCCCCCCTCCTGCTCCACACCCCCTCCACAGCTCGTAGCTGGTGAGCGCTCCCCACGCAGGGGGAGGGGCATGGCTACAGGGTGCCACAAGGGCAGTGGGCAGAGGAGTGTAGACAGCGCCTGCCAGATGCAGCATGCGGCCGTGGGGCAGGGCATGTCCCCCATGTACCCTCCTTGTGCAGCACCC